TAAAGTACAGTTTTCCCATATGGCTGTCATGGTGACGAGGGAGCTGAGCTGAAAGGCGTAATGGTCAATTTACCGGCAAATCTACGCGACCAAAATAATGAGATTGAGGATGCAAGCAGCAGAAACAAGATTCCATTGCAAAATCTGTGGGCTCAGCCTTAGAGTGAGGAGCTTGGACATCCAGGAGAGGCCTAAAGTAGAGCCGCTGTTCCTCCGCATCGAAAGGAGCCAGCTAAAGAGGTTTTAGGATGCTTTCCTGGGGAGGAGCTCCAGGTATGTCCAACTGGGGGGGGGGAGACCCCGGGGCAGACTCAGGACATGCTGGAGAATTTATCGCTCTTGGCTGGTCTGGGAGTGTCTGGGTAACCCTCTGGAGGAGGCAGCTGGGAAGAGGAAGGTCTGGGCATCTCTGCTCCCCACGATGTGTGGAGGACCCGGTAGCCCTGGAGCTGGCTAGCCGGGGCCGGGACCTGCTCCAGGAGGAGCGCCCGCCCGGACAACAGTACCCGCTGCAGAGGGCACGTAAGTGCCTTCGCCGCCTGAGCCAGCGCTTGATTAGCAGCCGGGAGGAGCGGAGCAGAGAGCTGGCGGAAGCAGCTCCAACACTCTACCTAGGAGCCTGCTCTCTGCTCCCCGCCTGGGAGGACACCGCCGCAACCAGCCTGGCCAGCTTCCCGCCGGAGAAGCCGCCTCCACTAGAGGCGTACTTCTACCGGCCGGAGCGTCTGGGCCTCGGAGGTATCCGCGCTGTGCGGGACGGCATTCCCCGGGTCCCGAGAGCCCTTAAAGGGGCAGCGTCAACGCGCTCGGTGCCCCTCCTGCCGCCCGTGCCGAACCTACCGCCCGCACTGCCTGTTCCGGACCTGCCAGCAGCACTGGCTGCTGCTACCGCCGCTCTGCCCGCGGCACCGCCTGCTGCTGCTACCGCCGCTCTGCCCGCGGCACCGCCTGTCGCTCTGCCCGCGGCACCACCTGCAGCACCAGCTGCTGCTGCCGCCGCTCTGCCCGCGGCACCGCCTGCTACAGCTGCCGCCCCTCTGCCCGCGGCACCGCCTGCTGCAGCTTCCGCCGCTTTGCCAGCGGACCCGCCTGTCCCGCCTGACCTGCCTGCAGTCCCTGCAGCTGCCACCGCTCTGCCTGCGGCACTGCCCGCGGTTGCGCCCCCTGCTGACCGCGTGATGGCGGCGCCCCCTGCTGGCCGCACGATGGAGGTGCCCGCTGAGGCGCCCCCTGCTGGCCGCACGACGAAGGTGCATCCCGAGGTGCCCCTTGCTGGCCACGTGACGGCGGCGCCCGTCCT